GTGTCGCGCAAAGCAGCTGCGGTTGAAAAAGCAGGAAATAAAAGTCAGGTAAGAGTTCGGGCGGGCAGGCGGGCCAAAACAGCAGCAGACATAGAACCGGTTCTATGTATGCTCTCTGTTTGCTGCTTTTCAGAGCAACCGGTTCTACAGAAGTGGGACAGAACCTGTAGAATCCCACCCCTGATACAGGCAGTTCCTAGGTTTAAGAGTGTATGATGTAAGGGTAACCTTACATCCCCTTCCTAAAAATGACAGATGGCACAGTTGTTCCTGGAACCACCATACTGCTGAGCCATTGAAGCTGCGCTTTTTAAAATGCCTGTTTAAAACGCATTAAAAACAGACTGTTTTTAATGCTTTTCAGTGGTTCATAGAAACATTGTGCAACTTCAGTGATTTGTCAGCCAAACAAAATCATCCACTGTTTTTAGGAAAAGGCAGCCTGTTCATAAGTATGATTTCTGACTTATATACAAATTCGAGTTAGGAGAAAGAGTCAGGAATAGAATGCATTCTTAACATGGTGACTGCCTATTCTTATGTCCAAAGACCCTAATATGTCTATTGTTAACTTTTGCTTGCATGCAGATAAACTGGACTATAATACCCTTTAAGCTCATCCACTTAGTTGCAAAGGGCCATGTTTACTTCTGGGTTCCTATGTTATATGCATACAGTAAAAGTCACACCCTTAAGAACAGCAACCTTGTGATTTTGATTGGACTAGTAAAGAATGGCTGGCACTTTCCATGGGTCAGACTGGATTTGAACTGGGTTCCCCCCAGTCCTATCTAACACATCAAGCATGGTACCTCATCAGCTCTCAATACATTTGCAAGGCACTGAATTGAGGCAATGCAAATCTCTTAAAGTCAATGAAGGCTATGTACTGTATGTTCTGCTGGAGGCAATCGTTGAAACACACTTAGAGACCTTGAATTTGTTACTTAAAGCAATTAATTTAATGCAAATTACCTTATTCACTTTATGAGAGTAGAATAGGGTAGAGAGTAGGATATGGTTATCATCCCTGCACAACTTGGAAGAAAGGGAAAGATTTTTTTCAAACCTTAAAACAAAGCCATTTTTCTGCTAAGAATAATATCAGCAAAGAAGAGTGTGCTCTTTTTTTTTTTTTTTTAACTGTGGTAAGTTTTCTTCTTGTTGTTTTTTCTCATTTCAGTCCCTCACTCCCACACATTTAAAGATGAAATTCAGCTTGTTTTTCAGAGCTGTGAATCATGATAGCTGGGCACACTCGATAGGTAATTTAATCAAGACTGGATGAAGGAAAGGCTCAAATGAGAAACCACAAAAAGGGTTAGTCTTTCTAGATAGCTCTGTCCTTTTACTCTTCGGCAGACACCGAGCTTCACCAACTGGCTCGCTGGAGGTGTTATTAAAAATTCAGCAAGAGAAACAAAGGTGTATAAGTGCTACATCTCTTCTTACTCTTTCCTTCAGATACTTTGACAGACAAAAGGTAGGAAACCTGCTTCATGAATAATGAGTCACACAATAGACACCATGCATTTTTAATGCACCTAAGCAATAACATTAGGGAAGCTATTTGCAGTCTTCAAATGTTGTACTGTAGCAGACTCAATAATCTGTTGTGATTATTAAACTCTTTCCTTCTTATTTTACTGTGGTTCTGCAGCTTCGTTGGTGTTTTTTTCTGGGTAAATCCATTACCAGTTTAACTGACATAAAGGTTTTTGGAAAAGGCAACTGAATCTGAAGGCCAGCCTTTTCTAAAGAGCTTCGTTCCAAAGATGATGGATTGTTTTCTAAGGATTCCAGGCTTGGCTATGACAACTATATTCTAACACATCTAAAGAGCAGCAGGTTGGGAAGGCTACCGTAGATTCTGATCGTAGAGTAAGACTGAGTCATCACTCAAAGAGTTTTGAAAAGGAACTTCCTATGTTAATCTTCAGGGATCAAAAGTAAAACATAATTTGAAGCACAGAAATAAACTGAGATGGAGACATGGTGGTGATGTGAATAGATTGGATGGACACCTATAAAGGCACATAGGTTTGCTCAATAAAACATTCCAAGGTTTGTGGCAAAACCTGAAATACAATCTACACCAGGGGTCTTCAAACTTGACAGCTTTAAGACTTATGGACTAACTCCCAGAATTCCTCCTCCAGTTATGTTAGCTCAGGAATTCTGGGAGTTGAAGTCCACAAGTCTTCAACTTGCCAAGTTTGAAGACCCCTCTACACCTTCAGAGCAATCATAAAATATAGTCTTCATGGAACTGTACAACAGCGGAAAGCATCACTTAAGCACTTCCACACATTGGGGAAATGCCCTTGGCTGTTCAATTGCCATCACCAATGTCAAGCTCTGACTCTTACAATCCACAATAGCTGCAAATTGCAGGAGTGTTCTAGGTTAGTGAAAAAGATTGCATCAATATTTTGTGGAAGAAGGTGACAGTTATGTTGCTTAGTGGCATACAGGAAGAACATTCAAATATTAACTTTTGATCGGTGCCCTTCCCAAAAGTAAGTTCTACTGAATTCCGTAGTTTATTTTCCTTCCCCAATGGGCATCGGATTGCAGATACTGCATAGAGCCAGGGGAATTATGTGTGAAGTCTCCTGAATATATACAACACGGAGCATTTCAAGTACTTGAACATGAATTAAGGCTCGTTTTCTTACCATATTTGTAGTGGACTCTTATAAACATTATGTGAATGTCTCCAAATTTGGTTCAGAATCATATACTCCCACTTGCAGACTATAGAGAACACTTTTATTCTATGTGTAAAGCAATATATTCTATGTGCTGTTATTATATTGCCTTACAAAAAAAATATTAGAAATTTTATATATATATATATATATACCTTAGTAAGACTAATACATTTTTCTTCCTATATTCTTATGGATGCTACTCCATTGGAAGTCCATTTAAGATGCAGAACGCTTGGTTAACTCTTTTTGCTGAAATAAATACAACTCCTGAGAATCCTCAGAACTTTATTAATTTAAGCTTTACTTGAATAAATATGAATTAATGAACATAAGACACATTGTAGAATCTACACAAAAAACTTTACATTCCTATCTATAAAGTAAAACAATTTCCCGCCCCCCCTTCTTCCCTTCTCATAGTGAGGTATGGCCAGGATTAGTTAAGGCAACTCTTTTTTGACCCAGAATTATTTCAAAGCAAACTGTCCCATATATAAGTAAGGAGGGGGTTGGGGGAAAATGAGGAATGGTGTACATGTATTTTGATATTGTGACACAAACTCCAACCTTTGTTTCTTGTGTGTGATGTCACAGCATGACTGTAGAAAGACAGAACTCACACTATGCTGTCACAAGACGCGTCTTGTCATTCTGGCATCCTTGTGATTAAGGATAGTCAGCTATGAACTATCTAGCTGTGCAGATCTGATTAGGAGGCTATTTTTGCCTATCTGACACTTAACTACAAAGTTCCAGTGCCATTCAGGGAGGGAAATTCGTCACTCTCCCTACCTGTTCCTTTCCATTTTAGGACAAATCTCTAAAATATCTAGCATTAAGACCCTTCTTGCTTTATGTTTAGTTCTTTCGTTGCAGTCCTCATAAATGACGTTCTTTCCAATGCCTGAAAAACACAGACTATTTTCATGCACATAGACATGTGTACAGAGAATGACTCTCAGTCTTCACTGAGTAGATTCAAACTTTCGAAGGACATCACTGAGACATTGTGTTCCCTCAGATTCCCACCTTGATAGTCATTACTGTAGAATCAATGCATGACACAGGGATGCCGCATTAAATAAAACTGATTGGATATAAGCTTGTGGAGCAGAGCATTAGGGTAGTACTGCAATCTAGCATCCCTATTTTATACTGGTGCATAGCTGAGGGCCAAAGGACATATGAACTTGCGTGTTTCAGTGCATATTTCTTTCCCCATAATTCAAGGCATTCAGTATCCTAATCTGTAAAGGGTGTCATGGGTCTTTCCACTTTGATTTCAGGACAACGCCAATGAGGAACCAAAAAGGAGACTCACTTACAATGGAAACTGCAAAAAATAAACCCCTGCTGTTTCAAAAGATCTTCTTGCAGGTGCAAATTGGAAGTACCAGCAAACTGCAGCAGGAAATAAAAGATTACTGGTTCCTAATCCAAAGGGATTGTGAGGAAAAGAAAATGCATTTTCTAGCGGAAACATACATAGAGGCCATGATGTAAATTGCACACATCGTGACATCATCACATAAATGTCACAAATTACATAATTACCTCATGAGGCACCCAATATTAATTTCCCCCTTGCAGACACCATAAAACCGAGGCGGAAGCTGTGAGGAAACTCTCTTCCTCCAGGGAAAAAAATGTTGCCTCAAGCCCCGACTAGTGTTCAATAGTTTAACAAAATGGCCAGGAACAACCTATAGAAATGGCCTAGTAGGAGCTTCCACTGTAATTTTGAGGAGGCGGACAGTGCAAAGATATTAACACTTTGCTTGTGGTTGGTTGGTGAGTTACGTAGAAAAAACATATAAACTTTTTCCTCTGCCTCCCACTGACATTTTTTATTTCCTTTACCCACTTTAATAGGCTCATTGTATTACTTTAACAATGAGCTATAAAAGAGAAATTCACGGGGTTCTTCTCGTTTTTTAAAAACACGTGTGTTTTTAAATATGTGAAAATAAATATTCGAATATAAATATTTGAAAATTTGAATATTCGCGTGTGTGGCTGGGATAGAAAGATGGAACTGACTCAGTGGCTACAACATTGATGGCTTCACATCTTCTCCCATCACTGTAGCACTGGAGAGGACCATCTTCAATTAGGATTTTTATCATCGAGATGCTTTCTGCCTTACAGAATGGGAAATAACAATGGCTCCCGCCACAGTCAATTTAAAATTCCCATGCAAATAATAATAATAATTTAATGAAAACATGACCTTTTAACTCTTAAATGGTACAAAACAAAAACCACACTCTCCTGTATACCCTTTTGTGGGATTATATACCATGTGAAGTTTGGGCAACCCAGAAAATTAACTTCCAGGAAACCAATGTGGTCTGTGTGATTCCCTGGGGGTGGGTGGGATTTCTGGTTCGCAGGTGCCAGTAGCTTATCCAAATAGGGCCTTTTGTGCCACAAGGTATGAGTGAAAGGGGAACAGACACGGTACATATGTTATTCGTCCAGGATTTCATTCTGAAAAGGTGCCCCACGTCTTTAGGCTTGGCAGTTCATATTCATTCCAAGGCTTTAATTTCTGTAAAATTCTCACCAAGTTCCTTCTAACCTCCTGTTTAGTGAGAATGGGGTAGGAAGTGAACTCGAGCATCAGACCGAGAGACAGAGGCAGGACATGGGCAGCCCACAAGGAGAAAAGGGAAGTTCGCTGACATAGTGTTTGTGTTGCTATTCCAGAGTCCACCAGGTTCTCATTTCAGACCGTGCTGTGTCTCTCGGTGTCTCCGCAAATCCACCTTCCTCTGAAAGCCTTTGCCACATAGATCACAGCCAAAGGGCTTGAAGCCAGTGTGCTTCCGACTATGAGTGATCAGGTTTGAGCTCTGGCTGAAAGCTTTGCCACACACCTGGCACTTGTGGGGTTTCTCACCTGAAAAGGTTGAGAAGATGGACACAAGGTTAAAAATAATACAACAGCCCTACCAAACTAACTTAAAAAGGAGATGCAGATATTCTACAGTCCTACGTTCTGGGTGTTCAGTCCTAGATATTTTGACTAGAAATATGAAGGATAAAATTCTTCTAGAAAGGAAGATATTGTTAGTGGAATCAATTAAATCAGGGATCCTCTACCCTCAGTACGTAGACTGGCACTGGGTTGTGGCATGCCAAAAACTGGGCCATGCAAACAAGCAAAGCCTCATCCGTGGCACGCAGGCAGCATGCCCCCTCCCAAAAAAAACTCTCTCCACAAAACTTAAACTTTTTGCTGCCATTTCATGAACATCTGGATTTTTGAAGTCCAGATCTGATAACTCCAACACTGACGTTTCCAATAATTATAGTTGAAGTGTCATAGGCAAGAATTCCTCAGCAGTTTGTTCATCAAGAGATTGTCAGTCCTCCTCAAAAAATGTATGTCTTCATGAGATCTTATGCAAGCCTGCTCAAAAATCTCATGATTTGGTGATTTCATACAATTTCAGTCCAAATAAATATTGTTTTTTTTTTTAAATGGGTGCCATTTTAGGGAGCAGCAAGTGCTATGTGGCTACATCCTACCCTCAAATAATACTGACAACCTATTTGGTAATCTTTTTCTGAAACAAGGACTCCCAAATACAAAAAGGATCCAGTTATAGTTATAGCAGCTAAAAGAGCTGATTAAATTAGCCAGAAGGAAATGCCCGTGAAAAACATTCATATAAATCTCAATATCTTTCTATTTGTCATTTGTCTCCATTATTCATTGCCTTAGTTTCTCTGTTTATCAAAAAAGAAAATGACTTTTGAGTTTATGCCACTTTGTCCATTATCACACACAGTTTTAAAGTTATTTCATTGAAAGGAGGTGGTGGGGGGGGAACTAACTAAATTACTTTAGAACAATGAGACAGAAAAGAGCCAATTTGATGTAGTGGCTAGAAACTGGGAGATTGTGAATTCTAGTTCCTTCTTAGACACAGTCAGCTGGGTAGCCTTGGGCCAGCCACACTTTCTCAGCCTTAGGAAGAAGGTAACAGCAAACCACTTCTGAAAAATCTTACCAAGAAAACTACACACACACACACACACACTGAAAATTATAACCTGCTCATATTTCACCTTGTAGAAGAGGTTACTCTTGTGGCTATTGACCACTGCTACGTGTTTTAGAACCTGTCAGAGGGGCAGCCAAGGTGTTATTACCCTCACAAGCCACATATCAGCATCACCTTTTTTCAAATTAACACCACTGACTGATGTACAAATATGCCCGAAAACAATCACACAAAGAAACCGTTATCAGTAAAAGACAGGATGGTTGGATTTTAAAGCTTTCAGTTATTAAATAGATGTAGCTTCTTGTTAAAATTCATGACCATTTCTTGTGATTTATATCTGTGATGTCTATTTATTTATCTATTTATTTATTTGCTTAGTTTTATTGGTTTTTATGTGATTTTCTTTTATCTTGAGGTTAATCAATTGTTAAAATAATGTCATTTCTTTTCATATAGATGCTACCTATGCAGCTAAATTTGGATCTAGCTCTGTTAATACCAGATAGCACAATGTAACAGAACTCATCTAAAATAGACAATGATTTGCCTGGTATCTGCAGCAGGAAAATCTCCTATTTAAACAAAGTCTCATAGGGACTGGCACTATTAGCAGCTTACATAACAAGAAACATTTTTAAGGAAGATAAATCTGACTAATTTTTCTAACCAGCATTCTTAGCGTTTTTGAAAGTAACATTTTTTTGCTCTAGGAAAATGATATTTATACCCTTTTCATAGAAATAGGATGTGACCCTTTCTCCCCCCAGACTAGGAGTATGGAAGAAATGACACATTTGTTTGTTTTATTGGTTTTACAATTTAATTATAAATTAGTCTTTATGATGAGACAAACATATAATACTGAATGTGTGTATGGCCCAGTCTAGAGAATGACATGACGATATTCATGATTACTGGAGCCATGAAAAGCAATATCAAATGGTAGTATATAATTGTTGTTATTATCATATGAGGATGCATTTATGTGGAATAGCTCATTATACAAAGAACAAATGCAAATATTCATCATAGCTGAAAAATGCCTGAAAACAAGTCTTCATGCTGACATAGGAAAAAAATGTTTCCAGCTTTATAATTAGGGCTCCTATGGATATACTGTAGCTTCAATATATTCCATTTATTGGTCTATGGCAGGGGTGTCAAACTCGCAGCCTGCGGGCCGGGTGCATCATGCACTGGCCACGCCCACTCCCATTTTAGCAAAGGGGGGGGGGGAAGTCATGATACATCACATGAAGACAACGTGACACCCCGAGTTTGACACCCCTGGTGTATAGCATACCTTATTTTTTACATTACTAAGATGGCTGCCTTTCCTTTTTTGGTAGATTTGATCAATTAGCAGATCAATTAGCAGATCAACTAGCAGATCAATTAGCAGATATATAAAATAGGTAATGACATGTAAGATGAGCATGAATATAATTGAAGTCCATGTAGAGAGAGATACCTGGGGCCAAGTTACTTTCCTAAAAGATTTTTTTATATGTTTGTGTGTTGTGTGTTTATGTTTCTGGGAGAATTAATAAAACCTTGCAGAAATATAGAATGAGAATAATGGTAACCAAGTCAGAAAGAAATAGATGAAATAATAATAGTGAAATTGAATAAGAGTTAAAATAGAATTATATTGTATAAAATAAGGTTTTATTTGACTTGTAAAATTTATAATGGAAAAAGGTTTAAGTATGTAATGGTTAATGATGATTTGTTTGTCTTTAAAAATTAATAAAATTTGTTTTTTTTAAAAAAAATTAGCAGATATTTTATATTTAATTTTTCCTATATTTTGATTAGTGCTAAGAACAATGGAAAAGTTAAGAAGATTAACATAGTGTCTAAAAACAACACACACCAAATTGCTTTGTTCTGATTGGTTAATTATAGGAACAAAATATACCTATTTTATATATTTCCATGTACATGCTAAGCCTTACCCTCTAACATAAGATTTTTTTCTGTTTCAATCATCAACAACAATCCTATTCATCTTTCTGAAATGAATTAATACTAGCAGATATACTGGTTGTAAAATTTTCTCCATCCTGATTTAGTGAGAAAATTGGTACAATGGATGGATGGAGGGAAGGAGAGATGAGATAGATTAATGATAGATAGATGGTAGATGGAGGGGGGGAGATAAGAGATTATCATCATGAAGAGAGAGAGGGGAAAAAACCTAAAAGGAGCTAGTGGGTACATCAATGAAAATACATTTATCCCGCCATTAAGAAAATCTATCAAGCTGAGATATGTAATTGAATTAAGAAAGGAATGAGATAATTTAAAATAAGGCTATAGGAAGTAAAGAAAGGGAAAAGCTATTGAAAAAATTGCAAAAATAGTTATAAGATATGGATTAGAATGTATAAGATAGATATGTATTGAGTTTGTGTCTGTATGGAGAAGTGATAACCTGGGGCCACGCTGTTCTCAAAAAAAGATATTTTATTTGTATTTGTATGTTTTGTGAAAACTTAAATAAAACTTATTAAAAAGAAAAAAGAAAATCTATCAAGCTGGATGAAAATGCAGACTTCACCTGTGTGGATGAATGTGTGCTTCTTCATGTCAGATTTCTGGTGGAACCTCTTTCCACAGTACTGACATGGATAAGGCCGGGTATCTGAGTGGATGAGAAGGTGGGTGGACAAAGTTGAAGATCTCTTGAAGCTCTTCCCACAGATCTTACAGTCAAAGCTGCGTTCCTGCAAAACGAAAACAGACCTTACTGACCTATACAAGGCACAGCAATACAGCTACAATATTAACTGTCTTATCCTTGTTAATTGATTCACAACACAACAAAAGTGGATTGAAAAGTCTGTTTTGTAAAACAAATTCGTACAGTGTATAGTTTTAAAGGACAATTTGAAAAAGGGAAGAATCTTAGTGGAAGAAGGGATTAAAATATTATTAATGATCTGGAATACTTTTGAAAAAAATAATTAAACTAGATTATAATTAATCTCTCTCTTTATCTCTCTCTCTCTTTATCTCTGTGTTTATCATCCAGATATAAATACGTTGATACATTATCTATAAATAATTAGACTTTGGAAAAATAAATTAAACTAAGCAGAGCTAGTGTTTCTCAAACTTGGCAACTTTAGGTTATATGGACTTTAATTGCCAGAATCGGCCCAGCCAGCCACTAATGGAACACAATCTGGGTCTCGACATATTTCAGAATATTCAGGAAACTCTCCCACCAGCATAGTTTCCTACAGAAAATAATGAATACTGACAAACTTCTAAAATAATCTACACAAACTGGAAGAATCGATTAGCCTTTATATAAAATTAATTGTCGTAATTACCATGCGGCTGCTTCAATCATCATGGGGTTGAGACCTTATTATCTTCCTACTATTCTGCCTGTCCTGTACAAATACTGTACAAAGGCAGATAGATCAACTCCACAAAGCATCCACACAAAGTCTTTTTTTATTGGTTCATCAGGCATCCTGTCAACTCACATTTATGACGAGGTTCTTCTTAATGTCCAATCCTTTGCATATCTGAATTGTGGAGTAGGAAGATAATAAGGTCTCAACCCCATGATGATTGAAGCAACTACATCATAAAGGATTCAGGCTAAAGTGAGGGAGCCTCCCCCAATCCAACAAGGGTCAATTTAGTGACCAATCAGGATTACAGATGTGACCACATGACATGGACTACATTTCCCAGGATACCTTAACAACATTTACCATGATGCATTCCCTTAAGGGGACAGCTCTCAAATCCTAACTAACTATCCCAAATCCCATTAACTCTAAACTGTCTGGACAGCACAAATACATTTTTATTTCACAGAAATATCCACTGTGTGCAGGGTAAACCCTGCTTTGGCCTACACCTTGCTGCCTGAAATTTACCTGGGGTTGCATCGGGAAAAGGAAAAATATATCCAATAAATAGCAGAAACTTGATTTTTAAACCTTAAAATGCTTCTGCTTTGGAAGAAATGTGCATTTGCACATATGTCTCACTCCTCGGGGTTGCCATTTGGAAAGTTTGACTTGCAGCCCAAGTGTGAACAGCATGAAGGAACAATGTGATGGGTTTGCTGTTTTGGTGGGGATAACTGACTCACCCAACAAATGGAGGTGTATTGAGGCTCAGATTCTTTTTTATATGTAAAATTCTCCAAATAGAACAGAATTACCAAATGATTGTTTGACTGGTTACTTATTAATTCTAGAAATTCATAGATCATACCTTCATCCCAAAGAAATCTCAGGACAGGCTACTCAGACATAAAAACTAAATATTTCTATGCATTAAGAGCTGCAAAGAAAATTTCCCACAAGGGTAGTTTGTGTGGAAAGCCAAGAAGGAAAGAGATACTGCTATAACCAGAAGTTAAAACAAACACAACACTTATGAAAGCTGTAAGGAAAATATATTATTTCCCAGTATGACTTATGCTGTACAACCCTTTTACAAAATCTGATATTAATCACAGGATTTGCTTGAGTGCAAGACTTTCTTTCACAAATGAACAGTACACTCTATCTATACTGTCCTCATCTAGGTCAAGCTACGTTACCCAAATCTATAATTTGAAAAGGCCTACCAGCAGGGGTGGGATTTAGCTGGGTCAGGCGAACCGGGTGTTAAATTTACATCTGGTTTGCCAAACCGGTAGTTGAACTGACCGGCTGGCCCCGCCCACCCTGCCCCTCCTCTCCCAGGAGTCTCCACGCGGCCCATTTTGGATTCAGGTAAATGCAGGGCCCCTGTGGAGGCTCTTGGAGGGTGAAAAACAGCCTTTCCGGAAGTTCCGTAGATCTGGAAACCGGCCTGTTTCTGGCTTCCAGAGGGCCTCCAGAGCCCGGGGGAGGCTGTTTTTGCCCTCCCAGAAGCCTGAGGAAAGCCTCCAGACTCTGGGGGAAGTGAGAAACGGCCCTCCCGGAAGTTCTGGTAGGTCACGCCCACCATGCCCATACCCACCCATCAACCGGGCAAAGAACCGGTTGTTGGGACTTTTGAATCCCACCCCTGCCTACCAGCTCCCACTGAAGCAAATGGGTAGCAGCAGACATGAATACTCAATCCAGATTACTTTAATCATACCTTCCACAGCCTATCTGCAAGTCTAAATCGGATGTTTATTGAGAAAGCAAAATATAGTTACAATAATTGTTGATGAGGTCTATGTCTACCAATTCATAACGGAAATCAATCTAATCTAGAACTTCCTCTCCAAAAGCAGTCATGTAGATCACAAGCAAGTTCCAGCCATTCTCCTGGGCTACAACTCTCAATTTCCAGTTAGTCTTGTGTAAATAGTAGATCCAACACAGAAGGCAACAGATTGTGGAAAACTGTTTATCACCTTGGAGCAAATCTGAACAAGCTGAACCACAAGGACGTATCAAATTAAACTGCAAGGTCTATTATTACACTGGTGATGAAAAGCAACTTTAAGTCTCCCTCACCTGTCTTAAACCTAATGCAAATATCTGAACAGAATCCAGAATGTAGGGAAAATTAAGGTTCATACACTAAGTATGCTACTCAGGCAATGTAAATGTAGAGTATAAAAAGGAAACTGTGTGAGAAAAAGCCCTAACTGAGACCAGCCTTGTAAGGCAGTTTAAAAGCACCTGTTGCAAACTAAATAAAAATGCAGTTTTCCCTGAAATGAATTTTCTTTCTTCATACTTTCTTATATACCCTTATAAAGAAGAATTGGATTTCTCAAAGCTTCTTATGGAAATGACGGGGAAGCAGTAGTGATAAAATCAAGAAACAAGGAATGCCGTTTTCCAAATTTTGTTGGAAATGTCTTCCGCTCCCCTTCAGCCATAAAACTTCACTTTTCAGTTTCAGGTTCTGTGATATATTAAGAAGGCTCCCTGGGGCTCAACTGCCACTACCGCAGTTCGTTTAGTTGCAGCATCCCCATACTCATCTGATCAAAATTCAAAAGCTTGGTGACCGATTCATATTTACGACGGTTGCAGTGTCCCGGGGTTATGTGATTCGCTTTTGTGACCTTCAAACTAGCCAAGTCCATCAGGAAGCCAAATTCATTTAACAACCATGTCACTAACTTAACAACTGCACTGATTCATTTAACAACTGTGGCAAGAAATGTCGTAAAATGGAGCAAAATTCACTTAACAGATGTCTCACTTAGCAACAGAAATTTGAGGCTCAGTTGTGGTAATAATAATCAAGGACTACCTCTATAATTCCTTTGATCTTCTCTCCTTACTAGCCTGCATCGAGTGTAGCTGTTTCCCCTGAATTATTGGAATAGCTGTCTTTAAAAAAAAGCTGAATGTTGTGCTTCCTCCAAAAAAACAGAGAATCCTATTTAATGTGTTAAAGAAATGATTGTAACCAAATTTGAATTTCGATTAATTGATCATTTATCTTTAATCATCAGCTTGATCCTAAAAAGAGTTTTTTCAACAACTTCAATTTTCATATAATAGAAAGATCTCAATGGGGTCTGATGAATGGTAGTTGTTGCACTCAAACAAGCTCCATGTGGCAGCCAAAACTATCATATTAGTCCATCAAAAAGCTTTTCATATCCTCTTTCTCTATATAAGCAACAGTGTGTGTACCTACATACTGAGCTCATTCGCACCACTTCCCTGCCCCATGCCTCACTTAATTTTTGCAGAGAACAAGTTCTCACAAAGGATCTCCATTTCATAACTCGCCCATTGCTGATGCAGACTGAAACCTGTCTAAGTGTTGGAAAGTATAGTAAATTGGGTTGGGTTTTAGGAAAACGGAAGGAAACCTCCCATGTAAGAACCAGCGGTCTACTGCAGGACCTCTCTTTTCCACCAAAAGCTCTGGCTTCTGCTCTACTAAATTCTACTCTGTCTGGTAGAGCAGGGGTGTCACACTCAAGGACCATGGGCAGGATACGGCCTGCAGAGTGCTTCCAGCTGGCCTGCTAGGCCGCCCTGGGAAACAGCAAAGGACTGGCCTGTGGTGCCTCTGCCAGTGAAAACAGAGCTCAGGAGGGCCGCAGGCAGCCCTGCCAGGCTCCATTTTCAGCCGCGACAGCCTTCTAAAGCACTCAAGGGGGCACACATGGCCAAAAACGGAGCCCAAGAGCCCATTTTCGCTGGCAGAGCACTTGGGCCATCACAGGCGCCCCTGGCATGAGTGACATGAATCTGACCACACCCACCCTGACCATATCCCCCGCAAAGGTCAAACACATTTTACTCCCCTGTGGTAAAGAGACCATAAACCGTTCAAATTTGGTCATGAGCATATCAGCTTGAGGGCTATCAAAAGACTGATAACTTCTTCCACTAATATATCAAAGAAATTCCCTCTGCATTCCAGTATCCACAAGCCTGGTCAATGTCACCTTCTTCTTTCCTAAACTTCATACTCTTTTCTCCTGGGAGTTGCCGCTTCACCTTGGCCTCAGGAGCCAAATGTGTGAGACAAATGCTATTTTATTGCTCTGCCCACCTGGGGACAGACACACTGATTTCCCATCGTTAGCTCTCTTTCCCCCAGCAATGCCTACATATAAAACTTTTCCCAGATTATTGTTATTACAGATCCTGGAAAGAATGAATCAATTCTGAATGGGGATAAGTCCATACACTCTCATGCATCTTGGCTGAAATGCTAAAGGATTCAGCTCCTCTGGCCATATTTGCATGGAAAAATGAAGGGTTCAGCATAAGAGTTCTCTATGAGGAGGACACTGAAAACCACGTGGCTTTTGAAGCAGTGACTATTATTAATTTTTTTGCATAGGCATTGCTCAATCACAGGCAGCAACAAAGTCCAACCTGGTACCCCTTCAGAAGTCTTGAGAAAAATCAATCTTATCATCTCAAGCACTTAGCTATCCCAGAATGTCTCCACCCCATTGCTAACAGTAGGAAAAGGTATTCCATTCATCTGGAGATTGGACTGATGTCACTGCTTATGCCCTAAATAACAGTTATACAGACTTCTGGCCTTTATGTGGAAGTCTGCCACGGAGTATATCTTTTAGCAGCCTGCTCTTAGAGAACGAACATGCAGAGAAGATCTCTTATTTCACTCTTTAATGGATCTTTTTTCCAGATGAGCTACAACTGGAGCTCAACTGGAGGACTCATTCAGAATTAATGACCATCTCTCCGTCCTCGTACCTCCTGATACCTGGAGACTCCATCATCCCCCACCACCCCGAGTTGTCGACTCCTGTGCTCTCACCTGGGAATGCACAGCTTTATGCTGCTCCAAGCTAACGGCATGGCCAAATGTCTTGCCACACATTTCGCACGCAAAGGGCCTGGTGCCACTGTGTGAACGACGAACATGCACCTCCAGGCCATGCGGAGTAGAGAAGTCCTGAGAAACAAAAGTATGAAGGAAAACATCAGTGTTGAGTGGCTGGAGCTGACAGCAGGTTCTGACCCTAAGCCCTTGAAGTTGTACGACCAAGAATTTTCCACTGAGCAATAACCAAAGGACAACATGAGCGTAGAAAGGATTCTTAAGAAGTGGTTTACTGTTGACAATTAATGCTGTGCTCTCCCAGGAATTGTATTAAGGATGGTTTCATTCAAGGATTCCCAATCTAAGCTATTCTATACATCCAGGTGAAGGGACATGACAGTTCGAATCCCTAGCATCACGTAACAGAGTGAACTCCCGTTACTTGTCCCAGCTTCTGCCAACCTAGCAGTTCGAAAGCACATAAAAAATGCAAGTAGAAAAATAGGGACCACCTCGGTGGGAAGGTAACAATGTTCTGTGCACCTTCAGCGTTTAATCATGCCGGCCACATGACCACGGAATCGTCATCAGAGCTCTCCAGCTCAGAAATGGAGATGAGCACTGCCCCCTAGAGTCAGGAACAACTAACACATTTGTGTGAGGGGAACCTTTACCTTTTACCTATACATCCAGGTGACCGATTTTTTAAAAAAATATATTACCTGTGATCCATGACACAAGTCAATCAACTAATCAGTTCAACTGAAGACTGAATTGCTTTATGTAAAGGATACTAGACCTCTTGTGATATATAGCATGTGATGAACATGGTTATGAAGAATCCATTATTAATGATGACTTATAATAATAACTATATATATATTACCCTACAATCAGAATCACAATACTAGATATTGGTAGTTTTTTTAATAGCTTATTGGAGAATATGAGCTGGATTTCATGCCCTGCTGTGGGTTTCTTGTAGGCATCTGACCAATCGTTGTGCAAAAACAAATAATAGGAAAAAAAAATGGCCCGATGCATCAGATCATTTTGAATCATGTGATCAATAAAAGGTCAGGGCAAGTCATGTGACACTCTGACCCCCTCCCACCTCCCATCACTTTTCAGATCATTGCTCTATCTCTCTTTTGACCACCCTTGCCTTTGGGTTTGCCCATCCTTGGCCTGCCCCCTCCAAAATAGAGTTTAATCCCTACCTTGCTGCATTTGACGCATTTGTAGGAGCCGCTGCTGAGCAACAGAGGGCGACAGAGGAGTTCTGATTCCAATTTGATGCTATTTGCACTCTTCTCAGGTTGCAGTCCAGGTGGGGTCTCCACAAAGATTCCAGGGGCTGCCGCTGGCCGCTCAAAGAGTCCAGGAGAGCCAAAGTCACCATAGAGTCCAAGGGCTGAGTTACGCTCTGAGGCATACAGAGCAGGCTCAGATCCTCGCTCACAGAAGAGGCCACGGTCCAGAGTTGAGCAAGGCCTGCAGTTCTGCACCAAATGTCTCAGTTCGGTGTTTCCCAGGCCGCTCCATGTGTAGGGTTTCAGGGGCAGGGAGAAGTGGGAAGGTTCATCGAAGGATGGACAGATGGACCGCTCAGAAGCTGGTAAGATACAAATAGAGTAGAGACAATTACTAGGAAGCTCATGCACTCCCAAGCAGCAGGGCAGGGCGGGGAGGTGGGGAAGAGAAGGGAAGGGAAGGGAAATTTGCTTTATCAATGTTACATTGCAATTTCATGACAACTACTCTCTCATTCTAGGGTTCCAAATAAACACAAAACGTTTTATCAGAAATAACATGCAGTGAAGAAATGAAACACTCCTGCAGGCAATGAATATTAATTCTGAACAATCTCTCCTCACATATTTAAATGAGCTTCATAATAACTACTCATCTACATATGAATTCAATGTTTTTCATGACCTGAATCTGGTTTCTGTATGCTGTAATGTTATATTTTCCATGTGTATTTTGCTCTAAGTCAGAAAAAGGGGCTGCTTTCAAAACTCCGTACAGTACTCCTTTTTCTGTAGGATCTTGAGATTAAAGGGAAATTAATTCTCCACCTCTTTTTTTGTCCTGGCGCAAAACCAATGAAATTCATTCTCTCATTCTTGGCTCAGAAATGATTGCCTGCATGAATGTTTTTGAGCAATACATGTACCTATCTTCTGGATACATGAAATATGAATAAATACAATGTTTTGAAGAGGTACTAGCAAAAGCACTTCCCATTTTGGGATTGGACTAGAAACAGTCTGGGAATGTAACCAATTGCAATTGTCTTCAGCATCATCAGAAACTTTAGGGATTTGAAATTTCTAGGAGGAGGTAAGAACAGGCTTTCCAAAGAAGAGCTCCACAAATAAGTGACAATATTAATAATATTGAAAACATTGATACAAAATCTCCAAGTGAGAAGCAAATCCAAAGAATCCACAATTGAGGGTGCCTTTGTAATAAACAAACAACCTGCAGCAAAATAAAAAGACTTGGGCCATAAAGATTCTAGAGTACCTTTTTAAAATTTGGTTTGCTTGTTTTTCTGCACATAGAAAAAAAGGATGGTTGCTGATATTTCTCTCCAACATGCTCGCTTGTGGTCAATTGCTGATTGCTTCAATGGTTCCTCTGAAAACCATCAACTCTTGCAAACCCAAACCAAATATACTTGACTACCACTCTGCTGATTTTGTAAATTTAGATGCTTGCCTTTTTTTTAATCTCAATTGACATTTCAAATATATGAGTCAAACTTAATTTGTGGATATATCTCAAGGGTGTTCGAGCAATTTTCTTGGCAACAGTACAGAAGTGAACTGCCATTACCTTGCTCCAGTATTTCTAGGTTGTGTGGGTTTAATTGTGTTTGTGTGGGTTTAATTCTGTTTTGTTTTCACTTATAGGTTTAATCTACAGAATTCCCTGAGAATTCCTCTGGTTTCCCATCCAAATATTAATCTGGTTCGACTCTGCTTAGCTTTTTCAGATCAGGCAGTGTTGGCTTTACAAATATTGGATATATTATTATATTTCCACCTGGAAGCTGCAAGATGTGTCTTCACACTGAATTAGACATTTTAAATGCAATTATTAACTAATTGAATTAATTAAACTGCTTTGTTATGGTGCTTTTTAAAATCTTCACGTGTGTGTGTGTGTGTGTGTGTTTGTTTGTGTGTTTAAATTTGAGAATTTTACTTAAAAAGTTAAAATGCAGTTAAAATGAAACAAAAAAATGAAAACAAGTATCAAGACTTGAGAGGGGCAAATCTATCTGCTCACAAGTCCTTCTTCCTTCCTTCCTGTCTTTCTTCTTTCCTTTCTTTCTTCATTCAATGAAATGATGCAAAACCAAAGGATCAATGTCAAGTGTAATTTGCATGTCCCACAATGAGGTCTTATCAGAAAATAAAGATGCAGGTGGGTGGACTGGTGGAAAGAGCTATATCTTTCGATCTATATGTTTTGAGATTGTTCACATCCATCCTGACAACTATTTTAATGGCCACTGACCTCACACATCTCCCCAAGATTAAGGACCTCTGAAACAGACAGTCCAAATGAAAAGAAATGCAGCAAATATTCACACACACCCTCTTGTATTTTAAATAATTATTTTTTTTACTAGCTAACCAATGAAGATGTAATGTATTTCCTCTCATAATGTACCAATAAAGCAAAGGAATAAAAAACTACCATAGGCCTGGAAGACAAGGGAATTTAAAATTGCCTTTTAAGTAATGTATCTTTACATGTGTGTTGTTTTCTGACGATTATGAACACATGCCACTTTTCAATGATGGACTTTCATTCATATCATAGGCAAAGAAATAATAACTTCTGTAAACTCAGTACATACTCCCAGATTATCTTATTCCTGTTCTGATAATTTCAGTTGGTGAAAGGCTGGTGACTATCTGAACCCACCAGAAAGTCTTTGAGGAGGTATTGACAGATCTTCCACAAAATGCACATGAATCAGGTTCAGCTTTGGATTTCAGAGTTATACTGTTGTTAATAATTTCATTAATTGTTCCAGGAGGGCTGAACCTTTGGTAGCTGGTTTACCCTGTCTTTGAAATTTTCTACCCAAATTGTGGGCATGCTCCTAAAATAGCAGGAGGATGGGAGCTTGCTGATTCCCAAAAATACTCCCATGAGGCACATCACCAATTTCAAAGCATGGTTTTGCCAGAATGCTATCTGCTCCACCCACTAACCAGCCTCCAAGTCCTTCAGAATGTGCTTACTTTAGTATTTTTTTTTTCTAAACAGGTTTGGGGTTGTTGTTTTTCAGTGAAACGTTTTTTTGTTTTTGTTTTTTGTCATCAAAGGGTGAAGAAAACTGGTCAGGAAAAAATTCAACAGGCCTACCGTTAGCCCCAATGATATTTACCACCAGTTGACACAAGTTGGACAACCTGCCTCACAAAACAACTACACCTTGGGGCAGCTTTGAATACATTCTCCCCTATAGGAGCACCCATTCAGCTTTTCATTTTATTGGCCTGAGGCCAAAAGTTGACACTTTTTACAACACCCAGCTCGGTCAAGTCAAATTTTTGATCGCCTCGGTTGGAGGGCGGGGGAAAAAAAGCAGCAGGCTGTTTACACTTCTCCTCACGATACATTTTCATAATTAATGGAAATTATCTCTTAATGAAACTAACGGAGGGCTTTCTCTCTTTCTACGGTAGAGCCATTTTCAGGATTTGGGTGTATTATTATTATTATTATTAATTATTATTATTATTATTGTTGTTGTTATTGTTGTTGTTGTTGTTGTTGTTGTTATTGTTATTATTATTTCTTCCCCATTTCCAGTTGCCGGAGAACTCGCTCTCTTTTTTTTTACGCTTTTCTTATTCCAGCCGTAAAACTTCTCAACCGGCTCTTGAAAAAGTGAAAGTTGTTTTTTGTAGTTAAACCAAGAAAAGGAGGGGAGGGCGAAACGGACAGAAAACGGTTGCTATAAGAGATCGGCCTCGCCAAGCGGCGAGCTGCGCGGGCTTCCACCCGCGTCTCGCCACATCAGAGGCCGAAGGAGCCACCCAGAGACGGCGCTGCTCTGGAACGGTCGCCAGAAGAAGCCGCGGTCGCCGTCGAGGGGCTGAAAGGAAGGGCGCCTGTCAATCAGAGGCGCCCCCCCCCCCCCCACCTCTCCGCTCCAGCCACTTTCCCCCCAAAAGGAAAGTTGGGCTGTTCGGCGCTTTCCTGGTAGGGAACGCCAGCCCGTCGCCTAAACACACACACCCCTTGCGCGGCTCTGGTTCTTTCCCCAACCCGTCGGGGAAATTTCGCCAGGAGAGTCCGGTCCGATCTAATGTGGCGCAGTAGGTTCCGAGACAGCACTACCGCTTAGACTTATATACCGCTTCACAGTCCTTTACAGCCCCCTCTAAGCGGTTTACAGAGTCAGCCTATTGCCCCCCAACAATCTGGGTCCTCATTTTACCCACCTCGGAAGGATGGAAGGCTGAGTCAACTTTTGAGCCTGGTGAGATTGGAACTGCCAAATTGCAGGCAGCAGAAGTAGCCTGCAGGCACCTTGCCGCCTTGCACCGGTCAGGATCGAACTTCTGGCAGTGAGCAGAGTCAGCCTTGCAACACTGTGTGCGGGTGCTTCACTCATTTTTTTTTTTTTTTGTCGCCCCAATGTGCCTCGTCTTCTTTCCCTACCCCCACCCTATCCTTTTCTTCGAGGAGACGGGGTCGCACGTTACATCAACACTTCAGCAACTAGGCTGAGGGGTTCTTTGAAGAAAGCAACGCTCTTGGAACCGTTTGGGGACCACCAGGGAAAACCTCGTTGCCTTCCTCGCGGACTCCAGGCACCTGAGGTGTTCAAACCCCCCCCCCCCCCCAACTCCAGCCAGGCTTCTCTGGCAGGAAGCCTCGCTGAACTCCTCAAAACGACGGCGCTCCTCAGCAGGGAACCGGAAAAACCACCCTTTAAAGCGGACCGTTGGGGAGCCCCGGCCCAAACCCGGAGGCACAATTCGTGCCGCATTTCAAATGGTTGAAAGGAAGCGATGCTGGAGCGCTCAAACTAAGCCGGTTAACGGCGACCGCAAGGCTTGAGTCATTGACTTCCACCAATTCAAGGACAACGGGAGAGAAAGACTACATTGCCATAGGACGCAGCGAAAAGTGGGGATAAGCTCTCAAAAGCTCCTTCTCTCTCCCCCCTCCCCGCTTTAAAAAGACCCATCTATTATTATTTGCTCAAAACAGCCCCCTCCCAGTGGCTTTGTTACTACGATGTGATGGCCAGCTTGAAATCGCGGTCTTCTGAATTAACCCAATCCTCTCAGGTACGCGGGTCGCAAGCGACTAGCTGCTTCCGGGGGGCCCGTCTCCCCCTCCGCCGCCTCTTTTAATCCCTACCTGGGGAGGCCGAGGGGGAGGGCGGTCTCCAAAAATCCTCCATCTCGGCGGCCGGATCACACACGCTGCTGCTTTCGCAGCTGGGAGCCGAATCGGAGCTCCTGTCCGCCCCATCGAGCGGCTGGGAATCCGGGGAAAGGCGATCCGCGGGGAGATTCCGTTCGGGCAGGGCCAGGTGCGAAGCCGTGCTATCTGTCCAGGAATGAGAAAAGAAGAAACGACCGTTGTTGTTGTTTTCCCCCACCCCACCCCACCCGAGGATGCTGTTGATCCCTGATGTGTGTGTGTGAGAGAGAGAGAGCTGAATCAAAGAAGAGAATCGAGGCAGTGTCAACTCGGGTTCCCACGACAGCTTGTAACGCTACACTAATACCTTAAAGACATCGGGGTTAGCAGGTCGCCAGTGATTCAAATGTGACCGGCCGGTTTGTGGGTCAGCGCGTCCCGCCAGCTCAACCAGCATATGGGGACGGGGTGGGAGATGCAGCTTCGAGGTTCTTCCGTCAGCCGCGCCTTGCTTAACCCGGACCTTCTCCGGGATCTCAGCATGCGGGAAGCAGGTGCCCGGAGAGGCGATCGCCTTGTGCCTCCCGGGCAGGCGGCCGGAGGGAAGAGTCGTCCCCGGAGGGCTTTTTTTGGGCTCTTACCTGCGCAGATCTGAGCCAAGACGCTCTCCAGGGTGCCGCCGTAGTCGCCGTCGGGGGCTCGGGGCTGGTGGTAGCTATGAGCCTTCTTGCTCTTCACTAGGAACGACCGAGGCATGGTGAGGAGCCTGAGGCTGGCCGCTCCCTCTCTCTGCTCCCCCCGCCTGGCTCTTTTCACGCCTTCGGACCTCTTCGACTGAACAGGGGCCGCGGCCGCCGCGCTCAGTCCCTCTGCGCGCCACCAGCAGCAAAGCTCTCCAACGCCCCGGTCGCGCTGCGAGGGACCTAGGCGGAGGGGGAAGGAGCCATTGGTCACCGATCTCGGGGGAAGGCAGAGGGGAGGAGCGCCGGGCCGGGAAGCCGCCCTACCATCCACCAGGTGGCATTCACACAGGTGGCGGCGGCCCCAGCCCGACGACGACGGGAGCGAAGCTGCAACCGCCTGGCAGGCAAAGATGGACCCTTCGCTCTTTCTCAACCTCTACCCCCCTCACCATCCGTTTCGCTGGCGCGCCCTTTTCGAGGGGTGGGTAGTGGGGTAATTCAAGCCTAACAGAGGAATAGACGGTTCTAAAAGGAAGGAAGGAAGGAAGGAAGGAAGGAAGGAAGGAAGGAAAGAAAGAAAGAAAGAAAGAAAGAAAGAAAGAAAGAAAGAAAGAA